ACTTAAAACACCCACCAAAACCACACCACAAAACTAAGTTGCTAGGCGGAAGAATGAGAACTCTGTATACACTGAAAAAAGATTGCATTTACCGATGGCATGGAGAGAAATGCTTATACTAGAGGTCATCCTGATGGCCTTCAGTAAGTAGGTGTCTAGTCCATGCAAAAGGTCCTGGTAGGTTCGTGTTTTCGCATAAACAATCACTTCAAATTTACATCGTTTCAGGCAAGAATGTTTTATGCGGTCCCTAAAACCCAGGAAGTGATGTGGCTCAATATGTATACCATACTGAGGACATTTTTTGGACAATTTCAACACAACTCAGTCGGAAGATGAAAGTAAACTGAGGTTATATGAATCAAGATCAATTGCAATAACATCCTTTTCCCACTTTGGTCAGGAATGCAGTATAAAGAAACACAGTTGCAAACACGTTTCCGACACGAAGTTCAGAGTAGATTACTTGTGATAAGCAAAGAATCGAGATTCATACTTATTAAATCTCAGCAATGCACATCGATAAATTTCCGCCCAGAATTAATTGGCAAAGGCCTAGAGACTTTAATGGATAGAGGAAGATACTCTTTGCTCTTCCAAGGTCAGAACTGTCAACTGCGCAACAACAGGGAAAGGAGATCAAAACCCACCGGAGCCAAATCAGCAGTGTGTTTGCATGAATTCGATCATAAAAGATAGACATGAGGTTGTAAATAAACTACGCCACATACTGCATCGTTTATAAACCAACGACTCTGGTGTTCGAATGGTTTAAAATCCTAGAATTTAGAGGCATAGAGAAGGGGGATCTTGGAATGCCAGGTTTAAGTAACAAGCGTCAAACGCTAAGCCATGAGTCTCATAAGAAATGGCTACATATGAATTGAAAACGCTATGGAAACTAACCGAGCTTTGGAACATAGCTTGTTGCCGATATGCCGTAGGGGAGTTGGCCGTTTCATATCCACCAATGTAATCACCATTAAAGTCGACACAATAACCGCTATCATCGCTCTGTCGGCTGACATATGGGGTGGGACAGTTATACCTTCCAGTAGCTGCATAAACACTTCCTGTCGCTGGAGCAAGACGGATGGTCGATGTTGACGCGACTGAGGCTCCATTTCTCGCGTTGAATACAAACCTCCCACGGGGTTCAGCGCCGTCAGCTGGGGACTCAGAACTCCCGTCGGTGTCTGAACTGGCGTGAGAATCAGGAGTGACTGGATAAACGGAAGGTTGCCTCTGATGTGGTGTGATTGGCTTTATTCGAATGAACTCGTTGGAGTCCGTCCGAAAAACCGATTGATTTGA